CCGCCGCCGCTGTAGCAGCAGCAGCAGCAGCAGCTTCTGACCCCACCGAGCCCGTGGAAGCTGCCTCAGCGCCATTGCCATAAGCACCGCCACCACCGCCATCAGCATCATCAGCATCACTGCCGCTGCTGCTGACCCCCGCACCGAAACCAGTGCCATTTCCATTTGACGTAAGCCCCACCCTATGGCCGGTACCGTTGTTACCGTTATTACCGCTGTAAGTGTGAGGAGGCGTCATAGGGGAGGAAAGCGGGTGCGTGTAGCTGCGGGTGGTGTTGCCGAGATTGGGGCCTTGTACCCACGCGCCCTGGACAGGGCCTGACGAGGGAGCCGCCTGCTGCGGCTGCTGTTGTTGTTGTGTGAGGCCATGTCGCGGACCCGGCGAGAACGTTCCCGGACCTGCGCCTGAGGGGACCGGGGCAGCCGGGGAACCAGCCCAAGTCCCCAAGGCGCCCGCTGCTGCTGCCGGGCCCGGGGTCGCCGCGGGGGGCGGGGGGGCGAGTGGCGATGACGCCCCCCACGCCCCAGCGGCCGTGCCGCCTGTCGCTGGGTTCCGGGGCCACCTCTCATGCGGTTGCGGTTGCGGTGTAAGGGACTGCTGCCAGGGCGATTGCTGCTGCAGTGGCTGCTGCGAGTTCAGATGGGGGTGCGAGTGGGGCAAGGCGGCTGTTGCTCCAGGCAAGGTGCCAACTGACCCAGATGGCTGGCCTACCTGCCCTACCTGCGCTGCCACGTAGCTGGCCCCCGCCCTCACACCGTCCTGACCGGGCAGTGCGGCTCCCAAGGGGATGCTGCCGAACGTCCCAGGCGCCGGCGCGCTCACCGTCCCATACCTTCCTGGCAAGCCTCCCCCCTCGGGCTCCGAAACCGGACCTGAACCACGTGTGGACTGGCTGCTGGGGCCGCCCGCTGGCGGTTGGGGCGGGCCCGGGGGAGGAGAGGGCGGGGCTCTGGAGGCTGCTGCTGGCAGTGGAGGGGAGCCGTTGGCACCGCCCCAGGCGGGGTTGGGGGTGGCGGGCGGCCGCAGTGGTGGAGGGGATTCCCTGGCCTCTGGAGCCGCACCCCGCAGGGGAGATGGCGAGAACACTCCGCGTACAGGTGCCTGTAGGGTGGCGGCGCTCCGCGCCCGGGCCACGGAATCGCGTGGCCCTGGTGCTGCTCTGGCAGGTGCACTAGTTGCCGCCGCCAAGGGAGGAGGAGGAGGAGAACCGCGGCCTTCCAACCCGCCGGAAACGCGGCGCCCGCCACCTCCGCCATCTGCGTCCCGGAGACGCTTAAACTTGGCTTCGGACTCCTGTACCCGCCTCTCCCGTTCGCGGGGATCCTCCGCAAGCGCCTTGCAGCTCTTCGTGTGGTGGCCTCCGTAGTTTTTGGAAGAGATGGAATACCCGCAGTAGGGGCAGGAGTGCTTGAGGAGCTGGCTGAGCGGGCGCTCATCGTCGAACTTGCCAGCACGGCAAAGTACCAGCAGAGCACGGCGGCTTACGCCGCCGCGGTGGCCGCAAGTGGCAATCGCGAATGACCGCCTGCTGCTGAGCAGCAGGGAGGAAGGCCCTGAGAAGACTGGTGGCGTGGACACTGGGAGATGAGGTGCTGCAGATGCGGAGAAGGCTGAGGAAGTTGGCCACGATGGGGGTTTGGCAAGGTGCGGGTTGCTGGTGGTGGCAGCTGTTGAGGCGGAGGCGGGGATGTAGCATCCTGTGGGCCTGCAGGGACGGGTAAGCTGCCAACCCGTAGCACACGGCCAAGTGGCTTGGATATGATGTTTGGGATTTATGCTGCTGCGAGATACAACGGTGCTGAGGGCTTGGAGCTGTGCTGCTGCGAGGGCTCGGCGCGAAGTGCGTGGTGACGAAGCTGGAGTTGCCGCCGCGAAAACCATGGTGATGACGCAGGCTTGGTCAAGGTGTATAATGCCGTCACATCCAACCAAAGGCAACTGAAGGCCACTCGGAAAAGCCAAACGTCTTAGCGATGCTGACTCACAGCTTAGGCCTCTGAGTTACGAAAAGGAAGTCTTCAAGCTACTCATACATTTATGCGTAGAACAAGGACGCGTGTAACAGTGCCTCAACGTTTTAAAGTGGAACGGTGCGGCCGCCGCTCGCCGCCTGATATGGCACTTAAGAACCAAGCAATGAATAAGAATTAGAAAAAGAACACTGTCCTTATAATCAGTCACTTCACATAGCACCTTAGGGATAAACCGGAACCCTCGATGACAAAGGCTTCCGTGACCTAAGCAACATCTTGGCTAGACAGCAAATTAAAACTTCTTAAGTAAGAAAATTGTGCACAAATGTTCTTGCACAGTTTATCATAAGTCTTGAAGCTTGCGTAGTTGCCTTGCTGCCAGGCAGTCGTGCCGATATGGTTCCAGCACAATGCGTACCCTTGTGACGACCATCAGAGACAAATAAGACCGACTAGTGGATAATTTCACAGCAAAATATCCATTGCCCTGCCTTTCACAAGTTCAGCAATAGCATGACATGCACATGTCGCATGATTGCAATTTGCATTCGCCCGGTTGCCAAGAACTCGAGCTAAAGAATCCCGTTTCTTAGCACTTATACAATTATGCAATTTCCGTCCACTCACGCACCTGCATGATGTTGTACAAGCGCTCTCGACACCTCGACTCCCTACACAGGCTTATCGCAGCTACGCCATCTTTCTCTCTCTGGCACATCAATCAGTGCCCCGGTCCTTGCAAGCAACTCACTCCCATGTGTGCTCTCGCTCTAAATAACGTTATCATGGCATCATCAGGCAACACAGGCTTGGAACACCCAGATTGCAGCAAGGTGTTGTGTATGAAGTTCCCCCCCCCCCGTCGGCCCCGCCAATTGCAGCCCTGACGCTGCACGGTGTGCTCCAGCAAATATCAATCCTGATCCGTAAAGATGGAGAGCTACTCGCCGCCATTCAGGTTCGGTGGCTTCGTCCCCGCTGTAAGCAATTCCCACATCCTAGTTCCCTGCTTCCCTTGTCCTAACTAATTACCCAACTTCTCTGTGCCGCTCTGGGCATCGGTCACCTTCCTTTAGTGCGGTGCCCCAAAGCCCCATAGGTGTGAGGATACCGTCTATGAGTAGCGACACCCGACACCCTCCTTCCGGGATCTATACGCGTTGTTACGGAACACGGCGATTACATCGGGGATGCATACGTCGCATGGCAGGTATGGCCCGGGCAGGTGCAAGCGGCGCATATCCATCATATCAGTCGCGGCCCCTGACGAGATGGACGGTGCAGGGAGGGCAGGGGCAGGCAGCGGGCAGGCGAAAGGCAGGAAGCGGGTAGCCTCGTCGGTGCTCAGCGAGGGATGCGATGCACAGTGGCCTGCCCTAAGGTTCCAGCCTTGTTAGACTGTCACCCCAGAAGCAGCAGCAGACGACGACGACGACGACGACGCACAGCAGCAGCGGGACAACCCAAAGTGCTAGCGAAGAGCAGCCTGGAGCAGCAGCCACCAGCCAGGACGTCAGCACACAACACTCGCGTTGCCCTCGCTAGGCGGCAAGGGCTAGCACCAACATGTGGTTGCAGGGGGTCAAGCAGCGGTAGCGAGGTGTTGCGGTATCCGTCGTGAAAGCCGGCTGACAGCGCAGCAACGGGCACAGGTCGCAACTCGTCGTTTCATATAATGTTCGTAAGGTAATGCGCATGTTTGTCTAGATCACCGCAGTACCCATCAGATGCGTTGGTGCCGAAGTGTGGGGCAGGTGGTATTGCTCTGGCATTGTAGAAACAATTCCGCGCGTCCGCAGCGGTTGTCCACGTGTGAACCCCTCCGTGCGTCGTTACTAGCACACCTTTGCCTCATCCCCAACGTGTAAATGATTGGTTATTTAGTTGTTGCTGGTGTCAAGGTCGGTAAGGCCACATAAGTCCAACGGCATCACCACGAACGACGACAGCGAAACAATATGCAACACGGAGCTGCAAGGTAAAAATTTTATAGCGTTTCCAGCACAATTGTACTCATTGCATTTCTCCACGATGCCTGCATGCCAGAGTTGTCCTCGACGAACTGGCAAGCAAGTTTTTGCCTTGTACAGGCAAGCGTATATGGTGTAATTACAGCAACGAAACGCATTCTCATCGGCCACGGGACGATGTTGTCATCGTTTGACTCGCACTGGCTGGGAAAACGGTTATGTGCCGTACACAAAGTTGGCTTTTGCAAGGCATGGCTTTGCACCTTACTGCGTTGGGCACTGAGGGCAGCTGTAAATTGCTACCTCGGGGGCCTAAAGCTATGCACATGTTGAGTTGCTGCGATGTGCAGCAGTCCGGAAACAGTATGTGTGAGCGCACCTTGGAGGCATCACTTGTAATATTTAGCTGATTAATCCATAAGAGCGGAAATGTACAAGCACATGTAAAGTATACACCTTGAGAAGCTATTAATGTCCAGCTCAGCCAACCGGCTGCAGCTGCTGCCAGGACGTTTTCGCGGCATGGCGGGGGAGGCTCTGCACGCCTGCTCGCAGCAGATAGCAACGTTGATGCGGAATCGTCGTGGTTTCGCTTTTGGTGCAAGCGGTGTGGCGCTCTTCGTCGTTCTGGGCGCCATCCAGCGAGTGCGTCGACGCGGGCGTGGAGGCATTGGTGCAAGGTAGGAGATTTACCTAATTTCATCGTGCTTGCAAAATCTGCGTCGCCGGTTTACGCTCACCCTTGCATGGGAGTGACTGGCTCGTTTATCGTGGTGACGGCTTTGTTCCTGGTGTACCTTTGCTTTCCAGCACATGTGGTCGGCAAGGACGATTTGCACGGAAAAGTGGCGCTTCCATCGAAAAGCAGCGCGAGCCTTGCCCATGCCCGGTACTTTGGGAACAAATTCAGCAACGGGACTGGCTCTTTGGACTACCACCACAAATTGCGGACTCAATCTTGGCACGCTTGGACGCCCAGGACCTTAAGGCGCTTCGCGCGACGTGCCGCCAAACTTATCTACAGGTGGGCATGCGTTTTCGCTCTGACCCAGCACCGTGGGCCAACACGTTGCCTGACATATTAGTTTGGTTCCTGTAAGCACCAAACCTCACCATGGGGTAATGCATATAGCCCAGAGCCGAGACCGACTGCCTGACGACGCACACCCTTGCGTGTTGTGGCTAAACGCTTTAACTGCGTCCAGGCGCAGCGCCACTTACTCCCAGCCTGCTTCCACCCGTAAGTAACAGATTTACAGGAGGCCCCCTGAGAACCTCCGCGGCTCCCCCCTCGGCCCCAACGCCCCTCTTAACACCCGTTTCTGCCTGCCACCTCCCCGTCTTCACCCATTACGTCGATAACGCCTGAAAACCTGCACCTTCACCTCCATCTCCACCACCTCCGATCCATCACCGCCAATATAATTGACACTGCCCAATCTTGATGAGGGCCGAGTGATGCGGCCTGTCCATCCATACCCGCTCGAATTGTTCAGTCGTACAGACACCTCGCGTTGCTGCTGCTGGTTTTGCTACAGCTGTTGTTTTTGCTGCAGCTGTGCTCTCACGCGCATGCGTGAAAACCCGTCACACTCACTCACCCGAGTCGCAAAACGAACTTTTTCCACCCGAGTCCAAATCCCACCTGGGTCATTGAGGGGGACCGCATCCGTCGTGTGTGTGTACATATGTATGTATATCCGGTCCTCGAGTCATGGCTTTGTTCTTCCCGTTCGCTGTCCTCTTGCCCCGCGTCTTCCACCCGCCAGGTGGCTGCTCGCACCACCAAGCTGGTCCGCGCCCTGGATGCGTCCCCTCGCACCTGGCGCCTCCTTGCCTGCCCCCGCCTGGACAGCATCTACCCGGGGCTCAGGGAGCTGCACCTCGTCATGGCGGGGGGGGCAGCGGGGGACGGGGAGGCGGACGGGGAAGCGGACGGGGATGCCGCGGGCCTGCGGGCCCAGCGGGTCGGCGGCCGCCGCAACGGCCGGGCCGTAACGTCGCCCGCGGCTGGAGCTACTGCCAACAAGACTCGCCTAATGCTACCGGGCAGCGGCAGCGGCGGTTTGTGTGGTGGGCCTCCTGCGCGGGAGAGAGAAGACGGGACTCTTCCTGGTTGCCGTGGGGGTCCTGAGTGCCTGCGGGACTTTGTGATCTGGTGCGGTAACGGTCACCTGCAAGGTCTGACGCTTCTGGACCTGAGCCGTTGTGAGGGGGTGCCCATACACCGGGATACATGGGTGGCGTTGCTGGAGGCCCTGGGGCCCGGGGAGGTCACGCTGAGGGTGGACTGGCGGGCGCTGCTGCACCACGCAGCTGCTTCTGGTACGGCCGCCGCCGCCGCCGCGGCCTCGGGAAGTGCGGGTGGTTCCGCCGCTGGTCGCGGCGGCGGCGGCAACTCTGCCGCTGGGGCGGCGGCGGCCGCCGCGAAGGCCAAGGCTGCTGCGGCTAAGGCTGCGGGGCTGCTCACCTCCCCCATGCCCCCTGACGGCCCGTCTCCTCCATCCCTCCCGCCACTCCCTCCCCCGCCGCCGCCGCCGCCGCGGTGCAGCTGTTCCATCTGCGGACCGGCCCCGCCCGACGCCGCCCCCGTGGTTTCGGCGCTCCAGGTCCTGGTAAAGCTCCGTCCCTGCTGCTCGATAGAGCTCGCGGGTCGGGGCCTACCCGTCCGCAGCCCTGCCGTACTTGAGCAGCTGTGCACTATCAGCCAGCTGGCGAGCGTCTCCTTGGCGGTGTGTGGAGTACGGCCTCTGGCTCACCACGCCGGGTGGTTCAGCTGCCTCAGGAGGTTGCATTCCCTGGAGCTGAGGTACCGGGAGGAGCCCACGGGTGACGTGGCGCTGCATCAGATTGTCCGGGCCTTGCAGGCCCCGGTGCCGCTTCGCTCCCTCATCGTACACCGTCCCACTACCCACCCCCTGGACGAGGCAGATCTGGCGGCGCTCGCCCAGCTGCCCTCCCTGGCCTCCCTTGACGCCCCCGGACTGCGGGTCCACAACCCGACATCGCTGGTCATGACGGGCCTCACCCGCCTGGCGCTGAGGAGCGACCGGTTGGAGCTCACGCAGCCGCTGGTGGCGCTGTTCCCCGCCCTGGAGCATTTGGAGCTCGGGAACGGGGCTGTAGATCTGCCGCCTACGCCGGTGCTGGCGGCGGCGGCATCCGTGGCGGGGGGTGCTGCTGCTGCTGGCGGCGCCGGAGGCGGCTGGCGGATGTTGCAGAGGGGACAAGATGCGCCGGCGGGGCCGGTGGCGGCCGCGGCGGCGGCGGCAGCAGAGGTGATGGCGGCAGCGCCGCCGCCGCTGGCAATGCTTCCTGGTGCCGTACTGGCGGACGAGTTGGTAGTGCCAGTGGCCGCGGCGGCGGCGGGAGCGTCGGGTCATCTTCGCCGGGGTCATCTGGATCAGCGTGTGGCGCAGTCGCTGTTGCCTCCCGAGCTGACCCTGCATCTGCGGCTGCTGCAGGGGCTGTCCGGCCTGCGTGTGCTGTCTATTGGCGGCAAGCCGGGTCACGGGGTGGAGGCGCTGTCGTCGCTCACCAGTGAGTGTGTGCAGGGATAGGGGGGGGGGAAACGAACACGAGAGAGTGAAGCTGACGCCAAGGAAAGACTGTTACGGCGGATGTAAAGAAAGCATACCTGACCAGTCGACGGTTATGAAGAAGCCGTCCTCGGGATGATGTAGTGATGACGACATCGGAAAACTACCTACCTAGACGCCAAAATTAAAAATAAGAGCGGAAGAAGAGCAGCAGATCTAGATAGGTGTAAAGGCGGCGAAAAACTAGTGAAAAGTGACGTGAGAAGAGAAAGGGATGACGTGAGCTGAAATCGCGTTTGCCGCCTGCCTGGCGGGAAGGGGGGAGGGGGGGCGGGGGGGGGGAGGACAGGTGGAAGCCTGTGCTGGGCTGCATGGTGGTGGTGGTGGTGGTGGAGGTGGTGAGGGTTTGGTAGTCGGTCCTCTCCTCCCCTTCCCCTCCATGCACTCGTCTAGCCGGGGTTTGCCCAGTCATCTGCCCCACCCACACCACCGCCTGGTCCTGACCGCCCTGGCTTGATGGCGATTATGTTACACAATCCCATGCTGCCCGCACACCCGACCCGTGCCCCCCCCGCCGTGCCCGAACCCCCCCTGGTGACAACGCCACCCTCCCGGGCGCTTCACAGCTACGCTGTCTAACACACACACGTTGCCTAACACCTCGCTATTCTGCCCTTCATGGCCCCTCCGCGTGCCTGTGTCCCCCTTCCCCCCCCCCCGCAGCACTGTCCGCCCTCATTCTGGTGCGCTGTAGCGAGTTCCGCCCCCTCCGTAAGGCCGTAGAGGAGCTGCGGGGCCTCACGCAGCTGCGCTCCCTGGAGCTGCACGCCTGCCTGGGAGGCGACGCGTGCGGCTACGAGATTGCCCGGCTGCTGCGCCGCTTGCAGAAGCTCCCCAACCTCTCCCGCCTCGTGGTACACGGGTGCGATCCCCGGCTGCCGCAGCAGCTGGCCACGGCACCTCTTGGCCGGTTGTCGGAGCTCCAGTTGGTGGGACAGCCAGAGCTGCAGCCTCTGGATCTGCGCTACGCAGTGCAGGCGCAGACGGGCTGTCGGCGGCTGGTGGTGCGAGGGTGTGCGCGTTTGGATCGGCGGATGGTGGAGGGGCTGCCCGTGGCTACGGGTCGGCCGCTGCTGTCAGTGGAGTGGGCGCCGTGAGGGCGGGGGAAGGGAGGGAGGGAGGGACCATGATGATAAAGTGCGTCACGTGCGTGTCTGTGTGTGTATTGGGGCATGTCTCCGGAGCCGTTTAATTTGGCTTTGATATCTTGGGGGGGTGCTGGAGAACGCCCCGGGTTTCCCATGCCCCTGGTTTTCCCCCCTACCCACGGTGGGGTTTCCCATGTTGGGGTCCGGGCTGGGGTCCGAGGTTGCCGCCGAGGTGGGGACCTGTACCTCGCCCTCCTACCCTTCCTCCCCGTGTGAACAGCTGTGAGGAGGTGGAGGAGCCCGCCGGTGTGTGTGTGTGTGTGTGTTGAGGTTGGGTTGACCCTTGCTGGCTGTGGTGGTGGCGGCGGCGGCCACCCTGCTTGGGAGCCCTGCTGGGACCTCTGGAGTTTCTCCTTTCGCAACCGCTGTCGGCCCCCCCACCTCTGGTTCTTAGTAGGCAGCCGTCTGACAGGCTAGCTGGCGAGCCGCTGTGTTGGGCGCTCCCTCCCCCTGAGAGTCGTTGGCTCTGGCGGGGGTCGGAAGTATGTATGTATGTAGTGTAATTGTTGTCGTTGCATGGTTGTGGTGGTGGCGAAGTGGTAGTGGTGGCGATGGGGGTGGGAGGGGAACTGCTGCTGCAGCAGCAGCAGCAGCAGGCCCAACAGGTGCGGATGGTCAGCAGCAGCCGCTGCGGAGCAGGGAGCCCCCGGCCCGCCTAGCTCGGAGGCTGGGCTGGCTTAGATTGAGCTGGGAAGCTGTTGTTCCACTACTTGTACACACCACCACCACCACCAACAACAACAACAACAGCAGCAGCAGCAATAACTTGAAGTCCCAACTTGTCGACGCACAAACAATAGTGTATGGTCTGGGGTAGGAGTGGTTTGTGTGTGGGAGTGGGGCCGGGAAGGCCAGCAGCGGACCCCTCGGGGGCGGGCGCGACGCGGGGGCCGACCTGCGGAGCGCACTACCTTTGCCCCAAATTCCCCATCTCTCTTGTGCCGTACAGTACTGCAGTCGGGCAATGGACTGCCGTGCGGTTGTGGTGAGGTTGTGGTGGGGTGGGCGGCACGGCCATTCGTGGCCGGGCTGATGATGTGGTGCGATGGGTGGTCGGACGGCGGCAGGGAGGGGCCCGGGGATAGCGCCTCGCCGTGTCGCCAAGGGGGCGACGGCAACAGCGGCTTAGCGGATGAAGACCTGAGGGCCCTACTGTAGGGGTGTATTGCTCTCTTGATGACGGCGCCAAGAAGCGAGTCGGGCAAGATCGAATTGATCTCTCGTTTGCCGTTCGGGAGCCGGAGCACATTTGACAGTTGAACCAGGAGGTTGGTGACTAACTAACGAACTAGTTAATTGGTCGGTGCGTCGCCAACGCGTAAAACTGGTTCGGTTGCCGGGTCGCCTCGCATGGGGGGTATGCTGGGTGGAGTCGGTTTGCCCTTCGTTGAGCTCGGAGCTGGGATTGGGAATGAGGAGATGGAGGAGGTAGATGGTCGTTGTGGGTGGGGTTGGTGGCATGACAGACAGGTGGTTGGCGGCGGTTGGTGGTTGGCACCTGCATTACGGCAGGCCCGCGTTGGCCTTCCAACGGGTCTCTCGCCGTATAGGTGATGAGAGGCACCGCCGCAAAGGGCAAAAAAACAGTTGGACAGTAACGAAATACTTTTACAAGGACAACAAGGTTTAGCCTACAACATCAACAAGGACTAGAACAACATTTACCAACATTACAAAACAGCTCTTTCCCCCCCCACCTCATCACCAACATAAACACCACAGGCACCGCCCCAGCAGCAAGGTGCTTGAAATGCGCTTCTTTCGTCCGAAAACCTGACCACCTCCTCCACAGACCCAAGTCACGGTTCGCCCAGTGCATGCATTCATCGCTGACGCCTACCGGGGCCCCCAGACTTCGAATATATGGGAATGGATGGATGAACCGCACGAAGGGTGCATGGCGGCGGCGAACGTGGTAATGGATATAGTTGGGATCAGGTGTTGTTGGAGCCTGCGGTTGATTCTCCTCAAGGCGGCTGATAGCAGAGTTGAGGTGATGGCAGTTTCAGTTCCGACGCGGTGGCTGCAGGAGTTCCGTCTCTGGCGTTGCCGCAGTGCCGCATGATGGCTCGACACTGACAAAGAAGAGCTTCTGGGTGCTTCACTTTATGTGCAAAGCAGAGCCAGAGCTCTGAATGTTGTTCATGTCGCCTAGCTCGCCTATGCTGCCTGGGCCTGTCCTAGTCCCAATTGTGCGGATGTGACATGTGGATAACGGATGCTGGTTGTGATGGTGGGTACCGGTGTTTTGTCGTTGTAGAAGTTCATGTTGGCTTTGATGGGGAGTTAGCTCGAGGGGGTCTCTGACGAGGAGAGGAGGGGGCGGAGGGGGTTCCGGCTCCGCAGCCTGCAGCATCAGAAAGAGCTGGGACCTTGTCCCGGTTGGGTGCTGATTCAGACCCCCCCCCCCGCACATGTTCATGCATTGTTGAATGCAGCTCTTATGGTGTGCCACAGACCCACGCTGTAAACGGACACGGTTCCGAAACCTCACCACCTGCTTGAAAACGTGGTAGTGTAGGGGTAGCTGCGACAGCTCTGCAAACAGGAGGCGGTGTGTTGGTCTGGCAGCTCCTACAATTTGTCGCATGAAAGATATCTGAAGCTGCACAACTCTGTCCTTTAGGCATGCCTCGAAGGGCCCCTCCACAAAGTTACTCGCATCACTCCGCCTCCTGAGCCTGTCCAAGACCTCAGCTAGCATAAACGGCCCCCACGCTTAACAACCATACAACAGTATTGCTCGTACCTGCGTATCGAAACACCTCATCCTCACATCTGGTGCGAACAACTTTAGCTTATCTAATTTTGCACTCAACGCGAACATAGCTGCTCTAGCTGTGTCATACAACTGCTGACGGCAGGCCCAGAACTGCCGTTCCGGCCCATACACTAACCCCAGATATCGTGCACTATCCTTAGCCGGTATGGCCTCTCCAGCCAGCCTGAGCTCCTGTGCGGTTGATCATGTTGTGAAGGCAGGCTGTGTCCCGAAGCCAGACCGTGGTTCTTGGCGTTTGGTCCTCAACCTGAGGAGGATGAACATCGCGCAGAAGGCTTATAAGTGTCGCTATGAAACCCTCCGCACCCTGCGGCCTATGGGCGTCGAGGGCTTTTGGATGGTGAAGGTGAATTCGGCTGACGCCTTTTACCACATTCCAATTCGCCCAGCGGATCGGCGTTTCTCCATTTAATGCAATGCGCGCTTTGTGCTGTTTAGCTTATCTTGTTTTTGTTGTTGAGCGCGCGCCCGCCCGCCCGCCCGTTCACGGCGCAGCCCGCGATAGTTCAGTTGCGGTGTCTCTTTCTCCGTTCGTAAGGCCCGTCTTCTTCGGGCCTGTCAGTCCTTTTCTCTCTTCCATTATGTGCAACAGAAAACTACTAATGGCGTGTATTCAGTTGGGATTCAGGCGGTTTTTAGGATGATGGCTGTGTTCCACGGCATCGATTATCGCAGCCTCATCGCCGGAGAAAGTGGCCACTTAGGACTTGACCGGGCTGCGCTTAGTGGGCGTGACATCCCACTTCCAACTCCACCTTCTCACTTCCCCATGTTCGTGCGCACTGCGTTGGCATTTTCGGGCGCAACGCAGATCGCACATTCGATTTGTTAACCGCAAAAAACACTTCGCCTCAGCCAAGGAAAGCAGAAATGGATCGACAGTCACTTTCCTCAAAGATAAGAATCCACGAAAGCACCCACGGCCAAAGGTGATTTCTAAAAGCACCGCAATTCCGCATGTTTATAATATGCAGTATGGTTAGGCATCTGCAAACATAAGATGCGCCATTTTGTTGTCCATGGGCACTATCAGATGCAAATATGCAGCACAGTGAATTAAGTTTCAAATTGGGGTATATAGGCCAAGCGCAAAGGCCGATGATGCCGGCCACACCTAAATCGTACCCCTGTTTAGCATAGGGCCCCCGGACATCCAACCGATTTCGGCGCAGCCTTCTTAAGGGCGCGTCAATTCCTTCTTTTCCGTTGTTACGCCGTAATCAGCTGGATTCAAGGGATGTGTCCATATTCTCTGGTCAAATCATTGAGCATTGGAAAGCAGGTCTCCGCATAGTACTCAATTGCAAACTTTGTGGTCACATCGATTCCGCAAACGGTGTCAATTACCTGTGAAGGTGTTTTCAGGTTACACTACCTATTACTCCAGGTCCACATATTTTCCTTGCCCGCAAGCTGCGCTACTCGTGGCGACAGTGACAGATCCTGTGTAAGTTGCGCTCGGGAATGCGGTAATGCCCATGCAACCTCTGACGCTTCATAAAGAACGCATGATGGTGCTCCAGCAGCCAATCTGATTTTGAGTTTGAAAATTTTGACCATCTTGGGTTTAAACTTCCTATGTGCAGATAGCATTTTTCTCGAGCAAGGCTGCGGGTACTTCCAAGGCCTGTCAATGCCCAGTAGTGGTGCTGGTTCGTCCTTCGTGCTTGAAGAACTTAATGCAGCAGGAGAGAGGGTAGAAAGGGGATTAGTGCACCTGGGGAATGAGGGCAAGGAAGGGATGATTTATATGGGTGCAAAGGTTGGGGAGGGTTTGCAAGGAGTAGGAGTAGAGGGGGTGCAAGCTGCAGGCAAGGCAGTGGGAGAGGGGGTGGAGGCTGCCAGCATGGCAGTGGGAGAGGCTGCCGGCAAGGCAGTGGGAGAAGGGGTGGAGGCTGCTGGCAAGGCAGTGGGAGAGGGGTTGGGGAAGGGGATGGAGGCGGCTGGCAAGGCAGTGAGAGAGGGTGTGGGGAAGGGGGTGGAGGCTGCTGGCAAGGCAGTGAGAGAGGGGGTGGAGGCTGCTGGCAAGGCAGTGGGAGAGGGGTTTGAGGCTGCAGGGAGGTGGATAGCCATTTCCATTATATTTTCTGCAGTACTTCACATCACTCTGGGAAAACTGGGGGCATTTTACCCGTAAATTTGGGTCAATCCACCCCAGTGTTTTTTTTCATGGAGGCCAATCCTGAATCTGTTACGAGTTCCGTAATAAATATGCCATCAGTCCAATACGTTTATTACTGCCAGAATTTTTTTTCTGGGGGGGCAAGCCCCCCCAGACCCCCCTGCCCACACAGGGTACCTGATACACCAGCACATATTTAATAAATATTTCATTAGAGTCTCAGCTGTTTCCGTCCGTTGCCACATGTGTTCAGGATCATGTCATACGTTTTCACCACGACACCACAGCCAGTACAATGCCCCAGGGCATAGCAAACTCGTCAGTTGTGCATGTAACAGCCACGCTTCTCAGCCCTCTGCAGCCACTTCTCCACCGTCTTGTCATACGGGAAGGATGAGCGGGTGTAGAAGTCTGCTGCTGTGGCCAGGACCGGCTTAGGAGGAGGTCGCTGCTGCCGCTGTTCCTGCTGCTGTTCCTGCCACTGTTCCTGCTGCTGTTCCTGCTGCTGTTCCTGCTGCTGTTGCTGCCGCTGTTGCTGCCGCTGTTCCTGCTGCTGTTGCTGCCACTGTTGCTGCTGCTGTTCCTGCTGCTGTTCCTGCCGCTGTTCCTGCTGCTGTTCCTCCCTCATTCGCTGGTCGAGCAGCTCAAGGTGCTGCCGCTTCAGAGGGCTTGCAGTGATCTCAACAGATTGCTGAGATGTGTCATCTGGTTCTAATGTCACTCTTGTACTCGCTATATTGTTTGAAGTGTTATCAGCATCGCCACTACTGGGTTTTGGCCTGCCGGTGGTCAGGAATGCTTTGACGCTACCCTGACCACCTATAGTAGTTAATTTCTTGGGCCCCATCGCTCATTTATAACTTATTTATACTAAAATAGAACATCTCTTCGGCCCCCAGAGATGTCTTCTGGGGCCCGCCCCGGCTCCGTAACGACCATGGTCTATGACGGAGCACAGAACACAAATATGCCATTTTATTACGGAACCGTAATATATTACGGAAAAAAATACACTGATCCACCTGTAATTTGACAGAAATTATGGGTCCATAACACGTTACGGGTCCCGTAATTTGAGCACAAGGATATGGGTGAACATTTACGGGCGACTACCCCGGAATTACGGGTGGATATTATGCAGTGCTGCAGGTGAATTACGGGCGCATGTAACCAAATACACGCACAATTACGGGTGAAGACCCAGTGATTACGGGTGGATATTACGTGGTGCTGCAGGTGAATTATGGGTGCATGTAACCAATTACACGCACAATACGGGTGAAGACCCAGTGATTATGGGTGGATATTACGCGGTGCTGCAGGTGAATTATGGGCGTGTAGCAGCTGACTGCTGAAAAGGTGTCACAAGTTGCTGGTGGTTGCACTCTGCGCATATTTATAGCGCCGTACTGTGTACCGGCTGCTACATTCCCCCCCTTTGAAGGGGTCCGTCTCGGGCCCTTAGAGCCTTGTTTTACCACCAGCCTGTGCCTACCTTCGCCTACCCTCGGGCAGTGGGGTGCTCAAGCCCACGTCACGTCATGGTTCCCTTCATGCGCCTAGCCTTCAGGTTTTTCAGGCACAGAGACAGTCCCGAAATACCACTCGAACGTGATCGGTGGGGGTTAAACCGACAACTTCAGGACCGTTCATGAGGTCTCAATACCAAATATAGCAGCTGACCGCTGAAAAGGTCTCTTGTGTTGCTGGTGGTCGCGCTCTGCCGTATTTATAGCGCCGTACCCAGTGATTACGGGTGGATATTACTTGGTGCTGCAGGTGAATTACGGGTGCATAAAACCAATTACACGTACAATTACGGGTGAAGACCCTGTTATCACGGGTTACACGGGCAGATATTACTCTGCAATGTGACACTTACTGTGTGTTAAATTAACGATTGGTAAATACTGCGGCAAGCCTCAAGATGGACGTGAACCCCTTGTCAAAGTAGCCTAAGTCTCAGTATGCTTGTGGACCAAGGCGCTTTGGACTCACAACGCCAACCAGCCAGCCTGACAGCCTGATGCAATCATCCCAACCATCATCCTTGAAAACAGTGTTCATGTCACCCCCCATACAGCAAGAGCTCGCCAAGAAGTCTCACCACCACTTGCAGAGTTTGTGCCTACTGCTTACTCCTACGGATGAAACCCCCGATGCATGACATGTACCGGCACCTATTGGGATTGGTCTGTCCCATCCTGCCTGGGGCCAACCTGGTGTGTGCACCCCCAATCGCTCATCACTGCTGCCATGTTACTGCTCGCTTCCACCACTGCCGCTGCTGCCACTGCCACTGTTGCTGCTGCTAGCTTCACTATATTTGCCCGTGTCCTCCGAGCTGGACTCCTCCCCAGCGCCAGCGGCTAGGACCTCTTCCTCACCAGTGTCCGACCCACCCTCCGAGCTACCCTCCTCTGTCCGCCCCCTCTGCCCTCCCTTGCCTGCGCCACCCTTCCCCGCACCGCATCCCCGCCACGCTCCCTTCACCCAACCACTCACATGCGGACACTGCTCCAGAGCTGCCGCAGCGGGTACTTCTGGTCAGGCGATGCAGGTCGGT